CTTTTGTATCTCTGCATCTTTTTGTACATATGCTTCTGTCTCCTTGAACCCCAGTGGGCCTCAGCAGATGGCCGCTCACACTGAGCCTGGTTCTGCTGGAGGTTTCTTCCTGTTAAAAGGAAGTTTTTCCTCTCCACTGTCGCTACAAGCATGCTTAGTGTGAGGGATTGCTTGAGAGTCAATGAGTTGATGCAATCAGCTGGTTTTCCTTAGATAAAAAACTTTGAATCGATCAGCCTGGATGATCTGGTGAACTGGAAAGTGACCTGAGATGACATGTGATGTGAATTGGAGCTGTATAAATAAACTGAAGTGAATTGAATGTCAAGCTTCATGTTAAGTTATACTTTAGCATCAGTTTTTCTCATAATATTACAGCTTTATTCTCGGTATTTTGCGACTTTATTCTGGAAAAAAAAAATCCGTCGTAGGATCGTGACTTTTACGCAAATAAATAATATAGTTAATAACTTACTGGGGAAGGATTTGTGCAAAGAGCCTCTTTTATTGATAAGAGCAGCAGCATGTTTATGTGGGCAGAAGAGAAGAGCTGAACTCGGTCCGGCTTTGCTTCTGCTTCCCACATAAACCACTGAGGCGGAAATCCCTCCAGCCTCTGTTAATGCGCGCTGTTAATGTAAAAGCTATCGATCAGTCCTCTCAGCCTGTCGGTTTACAGCAGGAGGCCGCAGACAAACAAACAAACAAACAAACAGCGCATGTTTGCGCAGCGGATCCGCTCCGAGGAGCTTCTGCGCTGCGCAACAGGGACCCAAACGCCCCAACAGGCACTTCCTGGAAAGAAACCATGAGCTGGCAGCAGAAAATAACCCCTAAAAGCATCAACGTTTTTAGACTAAAACAGGGAATTAACTCAGCAGACTCTTAACGTCTCCTTTCTGAAACCAAGGAAACCAAACCTCGTTATGAAATATGCGGTAAATGCGCCAAAAAAATGGGGCAAAGGGCCGGATTATGTAACCAGAGACCGAATTAAGTCAGATAAGAAGAATCGGTTATTTTCTAACCAGAAACAAACGATCATGTTTTTCTCTTATTTTCCTGGCTTTGCGCTGTGAGATGTTCTGGGATCAGAAATAGACTCACCTTGTAAAGTTTGCGGAAGAAATCTAAACTCCTGTTTGTCTTCCTATTGGTCATGTGGCTGTAGAGTTACAGGGAAGAGGCACACCCAGACACACTGGTGGAAAAAAAGGGTGTTGCTCCTCTTGAAAAGGCAACAGTTCAGCCTCAACCTAACTGACAAAACAGGCCCTTCAATGAGAGAGAGAGAAAAAAAACAATAGCTAAGAAGAAAACTACATATTGTCTTATTTCTAAGTCCTTAAATGGTAGATTAATGAAAACCAGGTGACAACAACTCTTTATTCTGTTGTTTATTAAAAATAAAAGTGAATTATACACATATTGATGATTGTACTTGGTCTTGAACAGCTTGCCAAATCTTTATACATTGTATTTTTTTATATATTGCCAAAAGTATTTGTCTAATTTAACATTAATGACATGTATGGGGTAAAATAACGGTCGTAAATGTGTACATTTAAAAAAAATAAATGCAAAAAACATTAATACGTTTAAGATTTGTCTTTTTTATGAACACAAGTTTCAAAGATAAAACTTTGCAACAATACAAGTATGAATTAAAAAATGATCATTTGTAAATTAATAATTCCTACTTGGAAAATTGTGACCTAAACGTGTGATTTTACGGCTTCTTGTAATAATTTGGGATTCCTGTTGATACATTTATGGCTCAAACTTGTTAATTTCTGATTCCTACTAGAAAATGTGTCATTTGTGAATTTGATAAAGATCAGATCTCGCATGTTTCTATCAGATTATAAGAAGGAAGAAATGCAAATGTTGAATATTTACGATTTAGACTTTCATTTACAGATTTAGAAATCTACAAATATGTTTCTATTGTCAGCTATCCAACCCCATAAACATCCTGTTCTTTATATAACGGGTGCAATTAGTTGATGTACTTTTACTTTAACTATCAAACATCTTCCATAAGGCTTTAGTGTGCGTACAGAGAAGAAAATCAGAATTTCAGACTTTACTTTAATTCACCTCAAAAGGTTTAACGTCAAAACAGATCAGTAAAGTTTTTTTTACCAAACCAAAGTTTGTACAAATGCAGCCAAATAATTTATTTCATCATGTGACCCAATACCCTTGGCAATACAGTGTATGTGATGCTTTATATATATATATATATATATATATAATTAACAAACATGTAAAAGAAAGTTTCTTCACATTCACACTTTAAATGCAAAATGAACCATAGACACAATAAATCAGCTAACAGACAAACCGCTCACCCGTCCTGCAGCTTCTAATGTAGTTTATCTAATTTCCTGTAAGAAGGAAATTCTGCATTAATCTAACTTTTTTAATTGGGAATACAAACCAGGAGCTCAAAGATGGATTCAAATTTTCACACAGCTGCTTCTAATGAGCACCAACTGGCTGGACCTGAACATCGAACGCTTCTGAAAGCCTGAAGCAGACAATATGTTGTGGTTTCAGATGGTTTGCTGTACCGGCTCTTTAACTTTGCTGCTCCCAGCTGCATAATGAGAGAGTAAACAACACCTGGGTTTAACTCAAACTGATGCTTTTGTTCTTCAGCTTTGTTTGAATTTAATAAACAGAATTCAATGTTGTTGGAAAAAGGATTTCATGAGTTTTCCAGAGCTGCAACATACGGCAAACTGTAAGAGCGTCTTTATTTATTCGGAGGTAATTTCTTAAAAAATTTGAAGTAAAACACCTTTTTATTTACTCTTTATTTTCTGTTAACAGGATAAACTTGAGTTCATAACTCTCTCAGCGGCTCATTTTGCTTGTTGGATACGTCAATTCGTCTTAAAACTAAAAAGTAAGCCTGAGGTTCAGGCATGGCATTGTCACCAACCTCAGCAAAATACAATTTACTCGAAATGTCCATCTGTTTTTAAACCAACTGTAGACATCAATGACCTTCTGATGCAAATCGGACACAAACTTGTTTTTAAAGCAGCTCGTTTAATCCTTGCTGTTTGGTTTTTAACTTTCGGATCATTGCACCAGGCCTTTCTTGGACTAGCCATTTTAAACCCTAACCAACTGAGAAGATCAGAAGACCAAGATTTATACAATCAACCCAGCATTTAATTACCTTTTACACTCAATAACTTGTTTTAAAATACCTCTAGTATCACAGTGCTTAAATTCTCCCCTCAACATCAATAAACACCATAAAGCAACCATCTACATTTGTTGCTGATGTTGTCTATGGGTAGAGTAGGTTTTAATTAAAGGTTAAATCTCTGATTCAGCAAATATTTTTGGAATTTCTATTTGGTATTGACTCAAATGACAGAGTTTACAAAAAAGTAATGGCTCTGATAGATTTATAAAACATAATTTGACTGGATATATGGATAAAAACAGGAAATCCGGAAAGACATGGACCCAAAGCAATACCCAAAGCAGATTATACACCAACAGATATAGCCATTTTTATTACAGATTTAACTAAGATCTCCACTTTAGAGATTGGCGGACACATCCTTCTGCCTTGGAAGCTACTCAGGATGGATACAGATGTAGGCACCTTTGTGTTTTCCAAAGTAATAACAGTCCTCATGGAAGCTGTTGGTCTCCACCACTGCCTTGTAATGGCTCACAGCATGGACCAGGCAGTTGGGGAAGCTCTTGTTCAAGGACAGAGCCACTGCCATCATGTTCCCCTTCAGCTTCTGCTGCCCGATCTCCTCCTGGATCTGACTCTTGTTGATGGGCTTGGGGTCGACGCAGAACGAGATGACCACCTTGATCTTGTTCTTGGTCAGAATGTCAAACCATTTGGCTCCGCCGCTTGCGTGGTACTTCTTTCCCGCCAGCCAGTTGAAGAAGAAAATGCGCTCTCTGTCGTTGAAGGCCCTGACGGACCAACTCACCCAGTCATATTTCTTGGTGAGCAAATCGAGTAGAGATTTAACGAACTCGGGAGCGACTGTACCAGGGTTCTCCTGGACGTGCTGCTCCATGTCCAGTTTGGCCTGTTTGGGAAAGTTCACGGTACAGTCATCCACAGCTGCTTTCATCCGTTTCTCTACGTCCTCCATTCGATTTTGCCACTTCTTCACCATATCCTCCCCGACGGTCCCTTCCTTGAGTGCGGCGTAGCCCATGACAGAGATGATGCCCACCACAAAGAGCTTCTTCAGCCGAGCACAGAAATCCTCGACCGCCCTTCTGCCTCTCTGCTCGGTGGCGAGCACCGTCTCCAGCATGGGGTCTCCTGAGAGGTTCTCCCCCTTGACGGCATTGTAGATTGCATCCAGGTTCATGTCAGCATCGGTAGCCTCATAGTGGTTGATAAACTTTTCCTTCTTCTTCTCCCTGAACTTTGGCTTGGCATTGACAAAGTCCTGGAACTTCTCGTACTGACTGAGAATCTGCGCCTCTCGGTCAAAGTTCTGCTTGTTCATTGACGTCTTCTGCAGCTCCAGCGCCAGTTTATCAATCTCATCCTGGATTCCCTCCAGCTTGGAGTTGACTTTTTCAAACTGCTGAGTCAGGTAGCGAGCCTCTTTGCCTTCTGGGTTGCTGAGTAGCTCAGCAGAAGCCACGAAAACAGCCTCCAGGATGGGGTGAAGCTGGCCCACGGTGGCCGCCAGCACCTCTGAGGCCTGCCCCATGATCTCCACACCTTTCTCAATCTTGTCCCTGTTTTCAACGAGCCATTCTTCCACAGTATTCATCTTTACGTTTGTCTCGGTAACTAAACCTAATCAGAAATCCAGAGAGTTTGTTGGTTCCTAAAAGGAGAAAAGAACATGAAAAAAAGAAAGAAACCCTTGTAAAGTTCGTAATAGTGTGATTTATTTCAACTTCAGAACAAAATACCACGTTGTTTTTTTTTTTTTTCCTGGTGTAGGTGTGAAAGAAAAGGTAAACAGCTGACACTGAGACAGTTTTTTTTCCTAGAGGACATTTCCCTAACAAACAAAACCTACAGTAAACGCAACGGTTGGTCATGTCAGCACATGTTGGCATCCAGTTTCATGCCGCGCCCTCACAGCCTCGGTTAATGACAGGGACTTCTTTTAAGGCCTTGATGGCATTGTCAAATGCTCACAAAGGTACTCAAACAAGTCACTTCTGCATAAAATGATAATAAATATCAAACATAGTATGTGTACAGAGGAATTATGATGTGAGTTATTGCCCAACTTAGCAGTGCTGGCCCTTTGGGGGACGTTATGTTGCTGCTCCAACAATAGCCAAGACCCAAAGCAAACACAGATGTTCAGAATATGGGAAAAGCAGGGTTTATATCAGTAATGATCCATGTTTTTCTACGTTAAATGCTCAAGAGAGATGAGCTCAATCAGTTTATGTTCACTGGAGCCCAAACGTAGCTCAGGAACAGGCACACCCAACTGTGAGAGGAGAAAATTTCCTCCACTGCACTTGTTCCACCCTTACCTCCACAGTTAAATCTCCACTTAATTACCACCAAATCATCTAAACGTCTAATTTGTCTGCTTGGTCCTAAACGTTGAGAAAAATGCAGGTAGATGTGTGTAGCTCATAAGCTGACCAATTATCTTTGTGGTGATGAGCTCATTATGGTGTCGTTTTACAGCCTGTTTTTTCTAACACCGTGATGATTAGATTTACATTATTCAGTCACATGCCAGCAACCCTTTTACAAATAACTGCATGTAAACCGTCTGATTAGAATGAAAAGCAAGAAAAGTGCAACATTTGAAATTTAAAGTAAAACAAAAGTTTAATTCCATTGCATAAAGATGGGAAAAGATGAAAAATATGCTGTTAAATGCTGGGAAATCGTTTAGTTTGTGTTATAACATTTGGAAAAAATAGCTTCCTTTGTGACACCAAACCTTATCTTTATATAACAAAAAAAGGCGAGTCTCACTGAGCACTTGATCCAACACTGGTCAGGGTTTTATGCTTGGCTAGAGAGCTTAAAAAGCTTTAATAGAGACAACAGGAAACCACAGGACGGCATTTTAGCAAAAAAAATGACATTAAAAGACATTTTTTTTTACTCTATGATTCCAATTATCATCAAAACTACATCTTTCTTTCTTTCTTTCTTTCTTTCTTTCTTTCTTTCTTTCTTTCTTTCTTTCTTTCTTTCTTTCTTTGTAAAAAAAAGAACTAAATAGATGATAAAAACTCACCTTTTTTGGTTAAATATTCCAATGGGCTGCAGTCCAGTTATCCAGGAGTCCAGCTGTGCCTATGAGCACCAGCCTCCTTGGGATTTATTTATACTCCCCCCCCCTCTCTCCCTCACCCTTCTCTCTGTGCCTGTCTCTCGTCACTCCTCCTTTTGAAATTCCTCCTCCATCCCGTTTCAGCATTCCACCAGAACCCACTCCGGAGAGACTCCAGGGGCCGAGACTGACACAGATAACATCCTGTAAACACTCCCTCCAATGTGGGGACACCATGCACCATGGGAAAACTTGGAAAAAAAAGGCTCTAGTGTGATGGACAAAGAGAGAGAGAGGCAGGATAAAAAGGAGAGCAGTCACTGCAGAGCTCAGAAAAGTGGCCCATCAGGACAAAAAGCTTCTTGTTGTTGCTCAAACAAGTTGCCATGGACACTGCACCAGCTTATCCTGGATCTGTGCACACTTTAAAAAACAGAACCAGTGGAAGAAGTTCCTTTTTTCTTCATCCAACAGAAAAAAACTCATTGCAGAAAAGCTAAAATTAAACCCAAACATTTCTGCTTCTCAGTCTGATTTGCTTCTTTCTGATTCAAATTTTTAAAGGGTGAAAATGAAATAAAACAACCCTCTTAAATATGGACACATAGAGAGAGAACCAAATAATACACATAATAATAAAATAAATAAATTACAAAAATAAATACATAGAAGAAGTAAGTAAGCCAGTTAATTAAAAAAAAAAAGATTAAAAAAAGACTTCATGATCTGCAGATCGATGGATGGATGGATGAATAAAAAAACAGAAACCTCTGATTTCACCAAATTAAATAAGATTATGACTCAGAAAGGCCATCAGGGATCCTTTTTCAACTTTCCATATTTTAAAAGCCATTTTTCCAATAAAGCAGAGGATAGTATTTACCTGCATGCATGTTGATGGTGTGCCCATTTCTCTCCTCATAACGGCAATGATTCTTTCACTGTGGTTCTTTGGGTAAATAACTGTTTAATGTTTTAGCTAATTTTGCAAACATATGCAATCATTTTCGTTCCATCATTGCTTCAAGCAAAGAACAGGTTTTGTAAATAGAAATTAAATTAAAAAAATGCAATATAAAACTGGAACTGAAATTAAATTCATAATTTAAAAAAGATTCTGAGAGTAAGTTTGCTGTTTTCTTAGATTTTATGTTTTCAAAATATTCAAAATTAATTATTAAATATAAGTTTTTTTGTTCATTTTGAACTTTTTCAGGTTTTGTTTTCATTAAACTTTTTTTTTATACTGTAATTTTTTTCTAGTTCCTGTTTTTCATATTGAGATTTGCAAATTTTATTATTTTCAAGACTTTCAAGCGCTTTATGGATTACACTCTCATTCATTAAAGTCCCCAAAAAATGTTGTTGTTAATGTCCTGTAGAGAAAAGTGTTTTTTCTTCTCACTCCAGAGCAAAACGCCCCCAGAAGTGAAGAAAATATGATCTGGAAAAGCATTTTGAAAAGTATAACATTTCTAAAACTCAGTCTGAAAATGAGAAATTTAAAAGATAAAATCAGAAAATATAAAACTTGTAAAAATCAAATTCAAATTTCCATTTAAAAATATGCATGAAATTTTTGTAAAACTTGATTTAACCTTAGATTTTGTTTTTTTTCATACCAAGTCTTTTAACTAGAAAAGATCTGACCTTAATTACATCTAAAAGCAAAAAATAAAAACAGTGCTTCTGCAAATTTTCTCAACATTTCTGTGAACTTCTCTGAAAACATGTGGAAATCTTGACCTATTTCTTTGTGAATCTTCTTGTCTGGGATGGATTTAAGCATGACAGAGAGTCCTTGAATCACAGCACAGACTGGTGAAAGACAGCCTCTGTTTCTGAGTATCCACCATGACAGCCAGGGCCCGCTCACGGCCCTCGGCTTTTATTGGGTCGTAGACGGGAAATGGAGCTGTCTGTAGCTAATTGAAGCTGGTCAGCAGATCGCGTCCCCCACCACCTCGTTCTTCTGTCTCATCTCATTGTCAGAACTCACAACCATCGGAAAGTGGAGCGTAGCTTTTGCAGGGACACAACAGTATGCTGTGATGGGTGGTACAGCAGCAGAGAGTTGGAAGACCTCGGCTTCTCTGCTGCGAGCGATTTCTTTATTTTTTTGTTTGTTTTTTTTAAGAAAGGAAAGAAAAAGTGGGGAGTCTGATGTTTAAAGCTTTGATCAAACAATGCTGCCCTATAAACCAACATCAGCAGAGCTGAGCTTGATGGAAAATCTGGGCCTTTGTTGTTAGTGGTTACAGGACCATCAGGTGGAAACATGGTGGAAATACTTAAAATAATGAAAGCCAGCTGGGGTGAAGGGAGACAAAAGATAAAAAAAAGGCTAGAGAATATCAGAACAAAAGTGTTACTTGTAGTAATTCAGTCTGAAATGTTTAAGTACAAATTATAACCACTGCAATAGGTACAGCACCACATGTGCGCCCCGGGAAAAGAGCTACGAAAAACAGAATTTACACAAATGTAGCTAACGGCTAAAGCAATCCATTAAAAATTCATACAGAATACACGTAAAGAAAAAATGCCTTTTTGTTTAACTCTGTTGGTTGGGCTGTACCAATACACCATGTCACGCAAAGCATTGTGGGAAACCATATGCCTTCTAGCGGAGGACCCTATGCTAACTGCATTAGCGCTAGGAAGTTCCTGTCCTAGCTCCTTCCTAATTGTCAGCACTATTCAGATAGCACTTATTATGGTGACCGCAGACGCAGTCCTGGTGTGGCTTAAGTGTCCTTACTGAGTTAAATACCGAATATCGCAATAAGAGCTGTTACCCTCCAAGAAGCAGCTTTCTTAGCCGCTCTGCGCCTGCATTTTAACAAACCCCCACTTTCTCTGATCGCGAAGGGAGGATGTGAGACAGAGTGCAAACATTTCAGCTCTTGTAGCAGCTAATCTGCACAGGGCAGCAACTTTTTTATCAGCTAACTTCTAAGTCATTAAAAACTTTTTTTTTTAGCCTTCCTTCAGCAATCAGAAGTGGCGTGATGCAGTGATGACACAAAATTGTTGGCGTCTCACTTTGAAATAAAGTGTTTTTATTTAGGAGTGGAGAAAAAAGGCAACAATATTTAATCATCATATATTTGCCTATAGGTGAAAAAAGCATTTAAAATGCTACCAGGAGACAAGACAGTACACCAGGAGAAGTGGAGAAGGCTGTAGGAGAGCATCAATCCAGCTGCAGGATCGCTACCTCCTCCTTTTTATTGCATGGAGGAACAGGAGGAGCACAGCCAGAGCCCTTCAAAAAGCCTCCAGCAGGTCACCTTGCACAAACAATAAGAAATTGACTCCACGAGGATGGTATAAGGGCCCCACATCCACAGATGGTGGTTGTGCTTACAGCCCAACACTGTGAAGGACGCTCATTAGGGCCCGAGATGAGATCCTCAGACCCCTTGTGAGAGCATTTGCTGATGTGGTTGGCCCTGGGTTCCTCCTAATAAGTTGGACCTCATGTTGCTGGAGTGTTTCAGCAGTTTCTGCAAAAGGAAAGCTTTGACGCTATGGACTGCCTGCCCGTTCCCCAGACCTGAATATGATTGAGCACATCTGGGACATCATGTCATAGCATGTCAGAGAGGTTTGATTATGTCGCCGTTTACATGGACATTTAAAACCTTTTAATGATTCAATCAGTTCAAAAGAATTATGGAGATTGTTGTGTTTAATTTTTTCATGTCTGCCAAAGGTACCAGTAGCAGGTTGAATGACTGTAGTATGATTTCTTTAGACCTGCCTTTGACTGATGAAGATAAACTGTCCACTGAGCTATTATTAGTCAAAGGTTCTAGACAGTGCTGTGTCCTGTTGCCTTGCAGCAAGAAGGTTCTGGGTTTGATTCCGGCCCGGGGTCCTTCTGCCCTGAGCATGCGTGGGTTCTCTCTGGGTACTCCAGCTTCCTCCCACAGTGAAAAGCCAGTTAACCTGAATCTAAATTTTCCTTAGGTGTGAGTGTGTACATGAATTGTTTTTTGTCCAGTTTGTTTCTGTGTTGTCCTGCGATAGACTGGCGACCTTTCCAGGGTGGACCCCACCTCTCGCCCATAGACACCTGGAGATAGGGTCCTGCAACCCTATACAAAACACATATATAAACATATATATAAATGTTTGTAGAAAGAGAGAGAGAGAGAGAAAGAGATAACACTGAAGCAATCGCTGAAATCGGGTGTTTCCCGTAATGTTCAGGCAATGTTCAGTCAGACTTCTAAATCTGCAGTTATGTTGATTCACTCTACATGAGAAAGGTACTGCAAAGTTTTTTAAAGATTTAATATTTTATTTTACTAAGTTGTCATTTAGTACATTTTTCTTCATTACTACTTTTTATCCATCCATTTTCTGTCATGCTCATCCCTGCTGCGGTTGCGAGGGGCAGCTAGTGTCTATCTCCAGCTATCATGGGGCGAGTGGCAGGGTATAGCCTGGACAGGTTGCCTGTCTATTGCAGGGGGGGTGGCAGTCTAGTCTAGTGGCATAGAGCTTGGAATCCTGAGGTTCTCAGTTCGAACCCCACCTCCACATATTGCCACTCTGGCTCTCTGGGCCAGACCCCACACTGCTCCCCGGGCGCTCCACAATGGCAGCCCACTGCTTCCCAAGGGGATCGTTTAAATGCAGAGGTAAATTTCTCTAATGTGAGATCAATTATTATTATTATTATTATTTTAAATATTGGTGTGAATTCATAATTTTCTTTGCAAATTTTCAAGCACAGTTGTACTATTCTGAACTGATAATAACACATTAAAAGCATCCAGTTCCTGTTGGTGTTTGAAAGCTGCAATAATAAATGTCTTCCTTCTGCAGGGAAGCTATTGGGCAAGTTTTATCACATTGACCTTGGTTGTTGTTTTTTGTTTCCTCTTCTTCTCACCATTTTATATGAAAACCCTCATGCAGGATCATTGCATAGCAAAAAATGCATCATTATTGATTAAAATATCTGATAAATCCTTTTATGTGATTTATACAGAACTGCAAAAAGATGCAAACACAAACTAGAAAAAGTTCTCCAGGTGCTAAAACATGGTTTGTCTTCAAAGTGCTTCACACTAAATGTTTTATCAAAAGAAAACCTTTCA